TTGGGCACCCCTGGTCTAGGGCGTTTACATAGAACAATGATGGAAAAGTAGCGCAGAAGAAAGGAAAAACGCGTTTCTGTGTGAACAGCCCCTTTAAATGGTGTGTTTAGGCATCCTCAACAGCCCAGCAGAGCAACACCAGCTCATCCAATGGCGCTAGTCTGGGGGTGAGGCTGTTTATGCCACAACGTTTGGTGAAGCTTGTGGCCCACAGATGACACACTTCAGCTTTAAATCATGCGAGAATTCAAAGCATTACAGTCATAAACAGTAGGTGGTAGATGAACGATTGTCTAACCGTGTCTCCGATCTGAGGATATTGGCGACTATACAGCTCCTGACAGTTGTTGAAGATGTAGTCATATGTGGAGTTGAGGCAGGCTTTGACACAGTCTCGCACAACCTGACTAGCTCTCGGCGGACTCTGCAGTTCCTGGACCTGTCCAGAGTGAGACAGTAAACAGTATCAATGAAGGACAAAATGAGCACTGATGGAAAATATAGATTGGGGATCAAAACCGACTTTTTTTTTTTTTCCTTCTTTACCTTCATTCTGAAGAAAGTGATGCTGGTCAGGAGGTCCACTGTAGATTTGAGGTCCTGTAAACGTTCCTTACTGCTTGCAGGGAAGTTGTTCTGAGAAAGAGAAGAGACAGAAACTGATAATTCACCAATGTATGATCTAAAAATTGTAAATGAAAAAAAACGGTTTAAACCGCCAACACTCACTCGATACATTGAGAGGTCAATGCGCAGGGAATTGTGCAGCTGATCCAAGAGCTTGACAAACCTTTCTTTCTTCAAGACGAGAAAAATTAAGCAAGATTTTCAGCCATCCAGGACACTGAGTGGAAATATTTAGCTAATGCATCAATATATACACATACAGTGCACAAGACCTATGGACAACTATTAAAAACTTTATGGGTCTTTTTGGTCTTTTTTAGAGATTGATAATATGAATCAAAATCCAATTTTTGTTGTCATACAGATGGAACAACGTGAGCTGGAGTAAATAATGATTTTGAGTCAACTAACCCTCTAAGTGCTAATGACAACATGACGTTAACAAGTGTATTTTTCCAAAGGCAACTTACTGTAATAACATCAAACACCTGACACTGTTGTCTAGACAATATAATTACAGCTTGCAATTAGCTCAAGTGTTCCAATCCATAATGGTGACATTGAATTGTGTGTCCCATGGTGCTTTACTTAGCTGGTCGGTCAATACAAGACAAAAAAACTGCTACAATAGACACCTCCATTTTCAAAATGGTCTTTCGATTTTGCACTATTTTCTGGTTAAGCACCTGAATATGTTCAATGGTTTAGTGCTGACACATTGAAACTGTCAAATATTTAAGCCCTTATATGAAACAAAAAATAGGATTTTCTGTGCTTCTCTTCCATAACTTTATCTACCATACTTCCTCCATCATTTACACAATCTTCACAAATTATCAGAAGTTCAGAATATTAAAAAACTTTTCAGTGTTTTTAGTTCGATGACAGTTATCAGCATTTTGTTTTACATCTAAACATGCTAATTCTTTGCAAAAAAAGCTACCATAATTAAATTACTTGGCATCTATGAAATAATAACAAAAAAAGAAAGAAAGAAAAATTTAATAAATGATCTTGCCCATGCTTTTATGTGTATGTGTTCTTTACAATCTGTGTGATAGTCGAACATACCCCAAAGTTGGATGCAGCAAATCTGTCGCTAGCGGAGACATTGGTGGATGCAGTGGTGTGGGCGTAGTAGGCGTTGATGTTGGCCAGCAGGGTGCTCATCACAGCAGGGACCCCGGGACACATATACTTAGATGAGAGACATGCGAAGTGCCTGTACAAACAAAGAGAGGAGAGATGCAGAGGATAAAAGTGCTTCTCTTCAAACACATCCACTATACATCGACTTTGTGCAAAGAAAGACAATCACTCTATTCCAAAACCTAGGTAGGCCTAGATACACTCCTGACGAGAAAGCGGTTTCAAAAGGATTATTCTATAAAGATCAAACTGTCTTCAAAAATGCAGTCATTTAGATTTTGAAGACAGCATCACATTTATTCTTTTAATTCCAGAATGCATTGCAATAAACTAAGTGAAAAAATTAATCCAAGATGGCAGGCAAGACAAGAGACATGTTAAAGATAAATAAACCTATAAAAATAGCTCAGTGTAATTAGTGTAAATGCAATTAAATGATTCATTTATTAAATGCAACTGAAATGTTACCTAGTATTTGTAAATTAATATTTGTGTATTGCACAGTTAGCTTCGCAACATGCTAACATCAAACTCTCCTGAAATCCTGTAAAGTGTTCCAAATGAGCCACTTATAAGCAGTGTTATTTTAGTATCACTGATATACTGACATTATAGTCGAAATTATAGTTTTTGTTAATATTTTGAATTACATTGTATTTTTATATTTTCTGTTTTCATTATAAATTTTCAGTAATTTTGTTGTGTTTCTGTAAATTTGTGTTAGTTTTTTTTTTTTTTTTCAGTTTTAGGTATTTTAGTACTTCAACTTATTTTTTTCTGGCCTTGTGGCCCATTCAGAGTGAGTTATGACCGCTTGCGTGTGCTTTATATGAGCGATGTGCTCCATTAATGAGCATCTCCTCACCCTCCTGACTCCTGATCGAGACTGACTCGTACTCAAGCCATTAACATCCACAGACATCAGGAGTTCATTTCTTTACAGCCCTTGCTAGCCAAGATCCAGCTACTGCCACGGAGAAGACTACATTTATTCATCCTTCACTAACCTTCACTGATTGGCAAAGTTATTATAGTTGGGCTGTAGTTTTTTTAAATGCTAAAAACTTGCAATAACATCTTGTTGTGTACCACTGCTTCAGTACAGCTAACAGGTAAACAGACTCATAACGTGAGCTCACAACCTCCTGACTGTCTCAAGCTTATATGTAAAAAGCATAAATTAAATGATATCTCAAGACTGGGATTAAACTGCTTGATTCACATATGGATTCATTTTACGACTTTCTAAGTTTTAGTTACCTGGACTTTCAATGGAGGGACAGACACCTCTTCTCCGGTTTCATTAAAAATATCTTAATTTGTGTTTTGAAGGAGTCTTATGGGTTTGGAACGACATGATGGTGAGTAAATGATGAAGAATTTTCATTTTCAGGTGAACTATCCCTTTAAATTAATCATAAATGTGTACTACAAAACTAAATTATATAACTAATAAATTCATTACAAAAAATGACTCTTTGTACATTTTCCATCAGTACTGGATGATCTGACTGAATTAATATAACATTATTCAATAACAAGGAATAGTTCACCAAAAAATTTAAATGAGCTGAAAACTTACCCTCAGGTCATCCAAGGTGTAGATGAGTTTGTTTCTTCATCAGATTCGCAGAAATGTAGCATTACATCATTTGCTCACCAATGGATCCTCTGCAGTGAATGGGTGCTGTCAGAATGAGTCCAAACAGCTGATAAAAGCATCACAATAACCCACACAACTTCAATAAATGTATTGTTACTGTGTGTTTGTAAGAAACAAATCAATCATTAAAATGTTTTTAACTTCAAACTGTTGCTTCTGGCCAAAATACAGTTAATTAAAAAGTTAAAAACGCCTAATGATGGGTTTGTTTCTTGCAAACATTTCACTTCACAAGACATTAATTGATGGACTGGAGTGGTGTGGATTACTTGTGGATTATTGTGATGTTTTTATCAGCTATTTGGACTCTCATTCTGACGGCACCCATTCACTGCAGAGGATCCATCGCTGAGCAAGTGATGTAATGCTACATTTCTCCTAATCTGTTCTGATGAACGAAACAACTCATCTATATCTTGGATGGCCAAATGTATGTGATGTTTAAAGATCTAGTGTTTTAATAAGAAAGATAAAATTAGAAATGAAGAAACAGAATGAAGAAATATGAAGAAAACTGACAGTAGTATAGAGGGTGGATTAATACATACGTCATGGCCTGGTAGATGGATTCAATCCCATAGCGCATTGCAAATTCATCCACTATATCTTGCGGCACATCGTCAAAGAAAACCTTCCAGGCATCATCGCCACGGGCTTCTGGGATTTTCACCACACCCTGACCGAGGACATCTGTGATGTGATGAAAGAGGTTCTACGAGAAACAACAGAGACTAAATATTAGTGACTAAAAGACTAACATCATCTGCCTGATAATGAGAGATCTGTACATGGTAAATGCATGTCAGGCAGATGCTGTGGTGTCTGTGAGCTGGTTGTGCTGCTCTACCTCATGTAGACAGGTGTACTGGACGTGGTAGGGGGCCACTTTCTCTTCACCCTTAATTTCCACACTGATCTGAAGACGGATGGCACCAGAAACAGCAGACTTGTCCGTTCTTTTCTCTGTGGGGTCAGATATGGATGAATAATTAATGTATGTGCAGAGATATTTAACCCATGGGAACAGTGCAGCAACATTACTGCTCAGGATTAGACAGGATCTCAATGCATTTGTTTGTTTGTGTGTGTATCCACAATAAAACTACCTTGCCAAGGGAATTGCATTTACTTGATGATTTTGGATTTTAAGAGGGCAGTAAGAGCAAATAAAAACTAAATTATAATATATGAAATATAATAATTAGGTTAGTCATTTACATTAACTATATTGAGATGTTTTGCTGATTTGGTTATCTCTCAAACTCAAAATTTAGATTTAGTCTATTACAAAACAGACTGTGCCATGTGTTTACAACTTTAATCACAAGAAACAATAAATCACACACTTGAAAGTTAAAGGTAGGGTAGGTGATTTCGGAGAGGCTAGCGATAGCAAGCTAGCTTTGAAAGCATAAGATCCCACCCTCCCAGCAAATCACTCTCCAAAGCCACGCCTCCTCACGCACAGGCAACATTTTATAGTCCTATACCTTCGACAGATGATACAAATACATACAGTGCCTTGCGAAAGTATTCATACCCCTTCATTTTTTTTACATTTTGTTATGTTGCTGCCTTATGATAAACTTCTTTAAATTACTTTTTTTCCACATCAATCTACACTCCATACACCATACCGACAAAGCAAAAACAGATGTCACAACTTCGTAAATTTATTAAAAATAAAAAACTGAAATAAGTACATTGCATAAGTATTCACTTATTAACTAAATATTTAGCTGAAGCACCTTTACAGCCTCAAGTCTTTTTTTGTTTGATGCGACAAGCTTTGCTCATCAGCATTTTGCAATTATCTTTACAAATTATTCCGAATTTTGAATGCATTTTAAGAATACTTTTCCCATCAACTGGTCAAAATGCACAACGCTGTATACTGCGTGAAAGACACGTGCGCACTCTGATGTAAACAAGCGGGGACGAGAAGCACATGGCAGAACATGTGAGAGACGCTCTGGATGAAAGCGCACTTTCACTCTCTGACAGCAGATGGCGCTAAA